TCGTAGCGCTGATCGTGAGAGCTAAGTTGAACCAAAAAAAAATGTACCATAAATGAAATAAAAAAACGCGGGTGTTCGGGGTTCATTTTCTTCTGTCCATCCATCCAACATTTAGAAGAAGTGAATGTAACGAAAATTCCGCACACACGTTCTCGATCGAATCAAAAAAAAAGTGAATTATTAGAATAAAAGCGAAACGTCGTTTCAGATACAAAACATGAAATTTGTCAACGAAAAAACAAGGCAAATTAGTGAAGAAACCCAATGAGCATAGAGAATTACGGCGGCTGCAGCGATAAGACAGATGACAACGCATTTGTCAACTAGTTGAACGCAATTGTTTCGTCGTTGAGGCAGATACGGGTTCGTTTAATCTGTCCGTCGGGACCGGTAAAGGTTGTTCTATCTCTATTTTGGACTAGGTTGAGCTACTTACTACACGTACGCATTTACAAAAAAAAAACACATTTGCACGCTCTCACGCCCTCTGCTATTCAAATTATCATCGATGGTGGACACATTTAGTTTAATTACAGAGAGGAAGAACGTGTTGTTGTGAGAGAGTAAATGCATTTTTTGTTTTTGTTTGAAGTGACACCAATCATGTGATTTATGATTTTTCTCAATAGAAGAATCAATGCAAAAAACAAAACAGATTGTGGTCTTGCTTGCATTCATGCTCATTTTGCCATACTTGCATGCATTATGACGCAATGTTCAAACAAAAAATCTACCAGTGACAACAAATCTACACACATTCACCAAAGCGTAGACTCGAAGACGAGTTGTCGCTGAGAAGAGAATATTAAGTGCAACAAACATCAGTTCTATCTTCCACTATAAAATGCTAAAATCTTCAATAAAACGAAAAAATAAAGAAAAAACTCACAAAAATTCAATAAATTCATGAAAGAGTCACAAAACGACGAGAATTGTGCCAACAAAAACAAATACACTTTACAATCAGCCAAACACACACACACACACACGGACTCGTACTCATCCCGCCCAACAACAATAACAATCATCAATAGAATAAAAAAAAATGACAGAGAAAACAAAAACAGCAGCAGCGGCAACGTATGAAAGACCGGCTAAAACTAAACGCGGTAATTGGTTTACGTAAGTTTCGTCTTTATTAAAATCAGTTTTAGTCTCTTCATAGCCAAATGTGGATCCACACTCTGCACCTCCCTCCGGTTCGACAACCCCTTTGGTTCGTTACGTTAAAATAAACAAAAGTCGTCGTTGAAAATGATCGAGCTAATGCTGTGTGCCAGACGTACGCCACCCCGCAGTGGTACGTAGCTGCTGGGTGGAAAAAGTGTGCCGTTTTTTTTTTTTTCTAGCTCATTTTTTGCACATTTGCGTTTTAGCAGCTTAAGTTGTGATAAGAAATTAATGTCGAAACAAAGATAGGAAACTTCTGCCCTACACTTGGAGAAATGAATAGAACATATGCATATCTAATAATTTACCACTGTTATGAACAATTATACCTCTAGCCTTTAGTAGACATGTGTATTTTTTTATTTAATTATTTCCTTTTATAGCATAGTTTTAGGCGCCGTAACAATCTTATGATAAATGTGCTTTAAAAAGGTTTTACTTCTCTTGTATTTATAGAAGAACTTTTTATACCCTCAGCCATATGGCTAGAGAGTGTATATATCATTTGATACGGCCCAAACCTGTCTCATCGAAACAACCAAATTCTTTTCCGGACATTTAAAGTCGATCGAGCGATGTCCGTCCGTCTGTGGAAATCACTCTAGCTCCGAACAAAATGAAGTAGTTTAATAAAATTTTACTCAAATTTATATTATGTCTGCGGGACTTTTGGTATTAAGAAGGGACCATGTAAGTCCAGGTTTTGGTATGGCCCCATACAATGATACCATATTACATCCTACGACAGAAAATTGTTTGTACAGGTCCACGTCTTCGTATAGCCCCCATATAACGGTACCTCTCTATTTTCGGTATTTTGATGATTTTAGCGACTTTATTCACCGGAATTGTTTCAAATTTGTTATTTGAAGTTCAAAGTTTGGATATTATAGCCTATGACAGAATATTATCCGAACAGGTCCACGTCTTCGTATAGCCTCCATATAATGGTACCTCCCTATTTTCGGTATTTTGATGATTTTAGCGACATTATTTACCGGAATTGTTTCAAATTTGGTATTTAAAGTTCGTAATGGATATTACAGCCTAAGAAGAAAAATTGTCTGTGCAGGCCCACGTCTTCGTATAGCCCCCATATAACGGTTCCTCCCAATATTCGGTACTTTGATGATTTTAGCGACATTAATCACCGGATTTGTTTGAAATTTGGTATTTTAAGTTCGTAATGGATACTACAGCCTGTGACAGAAAATTGTCTGTGCAGGTCTACGTGTTCGTATAGCCGCCATATAATGGTACCTCCCTATTTTTGATATTTTGATGATTTTAGCGACATTATTCTCCAGAATTGTTTCAAATTTGGTATTTGAAGTTCGTTATGCATATTACAGCCTACGACAGAAAATTGTTTGTGCAGGTCCACGTCCCCGTATAGCCCTCATATAACGGTTCCTCCCAATATTCGGTATTTTGATAATTTTGGCGACATTATTCACCGAAAATGTTTCAAATTTGATATTTGAAGTTCGTAATGAATACTACAGCCTATGACAGAAAATTGTCCATTCAAGTTCACGCCTTCGTATAGCTTCCATATGACGGCACCTCCCGATACTCGGTATTTTTTATGATTTAAACGACATTATTCACCGGAATTGTTTCAAATTTGGTGTTTGAAGTTCGTTATGCATATTACAGCCTACGACAGAAAATTGTCTGGTATAGCCCCCATATAATATATAATTTAATTTTTTGAAAATTGTCAAATTCAATTAACATGGTGGGGGGCATTCAAAGTTCGGCCCGATCGAAATTGCTTTACTTTTATATAGATACTATACTTAATAGTCATATTCAATATTATAGTATTGTAGTAATACGAAATATTACTCCCTCCACCCACAGCGGAGAAGGTCATATTCGTAATTACATCTTGAAAAATAATCTACTTTCAAAAGGGTACTTAAACTTATATCTGTTGTGTACGAAGTAATATAATAAAAGCTCAAGTAAAAACTGTAAAATTGAAACACAATTAAATATGCTGAGTGATCTACGGTAACTTCGTGACGTTACGATTTCGACTTGAATACAATATAATGAATCTTAAATGACCTTTGTATTTCAATAAACGCAAATAAAAATACATGTGAAGTAAATAAATACTTGTTATGTTAATAATAATAATATATAAATGCTGCTTATAAACACGACAATTAACATGTTTATTTATAAATCCAAACCCTGAACGGAATAAAGTAAATTATAGTACCATGTTAAAGTAATATAAATATTTTTTCTTTCTAAGGATTGTGTTAATGAGATCTTTTCATAAGCCCAAAATTATTTTTTACTTTGTATTGCATTAAATGCATTCAATTGTCCCCCACTCTTCTTTGTGATTATTTACGCATCCATAAATGTGAGAAACACTCAAAGCAAACGTTCTGATTGTCTATAAATGCAAATGAGTTTTTTTTTTCGTATTTATTATTGACTCAATGTTTCAAATATGAATGCGTTCTGTTTTGAATAGGCAACACAAAAAAATGTTTTCAATAAAAATTAGGACCTCGTTTTTATGCAGGTGTAGTAGGCCCAAGTACGTGAGCTTTATTAGCATTTAAGAATGTTCTACAATTCCCACAAAATCAAGAAAATGTCCAAAATGAATCATCAACTTGGGAAACCTGAGAAATCTCAGATATTTAATTTGAGGCTTGGCAACAACATAATGCCCCAATTTCCTAAATAATCCACTTACAAATACTCTCTCGTTTATATTTCCTTTAGAAACCAAAAATTAGTCCAGTAGATAAAAGAAGTACTAAACTAAACCATAGTGTCGTTAAATTTTCCTAATTTTATTTTTCTATTCATCGCCAAGGAACAAGAAATTGTTAATGCTTCGCTAAATTTTTATAGTTAACTCTATTCATAAGGTTGAACAACAAGCAGAGCACACTTCACTATCTAACCAAGTTGTGGGAGCGGAGCAAAGGGGGTTGCGGACGGACGTGTTAAGGTATATAGGTGTAGTTGGATTCCATAAGAACCTTCCGCCGTTAAGAAAAAAAAAAACTCACACATATTGTAGTATTCGTCATCGCCATCAACCTGTGTACACATTTTGATAGCAACAACTTGCTTGCCAGTCTGCTTGACGCCAAAACAGATATAATCTTCTTTGAATTTTGCAATACCCTTCGGATTTTCTAAGAAATTCCGCAAGCAACGAAGCATTTTATTTTTCTTTCTTCAATTCCACACAGAGCATGGAGGAAAACCTCAATACTTATTCTCTGATCGTCGTCATCGTAGCATCTTTACATTTTCTTTTCCTATGTTTCTCCACTTCAAAATTTCCCAAAGAGTTTCCATCACTTTGAATACAACAGCAGCAGCTATCTTGGTCTATGGCTGTTGAGGTGTTACCAAGTGTAGTTACTTAATACCATATTCCATGGGAAAGAAGTGTAGCTTACATCACGTACGTAATCTACGCTAATAAATTAGTTATTAACGCTATCAGAACAGCGTGAAAACACAAGAGGATGAGGTTAGAAATAAAGAGAGAGCGAGAAAATAGCACTTAAATATTTTCACCATGAAATGCTAATGAAAACAAGATGCAATTATGGCATTGTGTTAGAATCGAAAGGTGTAAATTCGTAGTTAGTTAACAGGCTTAGAAATTTTTACGTCGACGGTAATGGTTATCAAATTATACGCAATATAAAATATAGAGATGACCTAAAACTATGTAAAAGAGTTGAAATGATATAAAGCTTTTTTTTTTAATATATTTATTATTTATTTTTCCACTGACAAAATATATTAATCATTTTTGAAATTTTATTTCTTTTCAGCAGGAAGTGTTTCCATGCTGCCTATTATTATTTGGATGATCCACCACATCATCCAAATGTGCCACAGGTCGACTGGGAGGTACCAGTTGAGATTGGTGGAGAAATTCGGGCAGCTGTCCCCGTCAATGAGTTCGCCAAACATGTTGCCTCGTTGCATGCCGATGGTGATATCGGTTTCAGTCGTGAATATGAAGCCATACAAAACGAATGCATTTCCGATGATTTACCCTGTGAACATTCGCAACATCCCGAAAACAAGAAAAAAAATCGTTATTTAAATATTACAGCCTGTAAGTATGCAACAAATAATCATATAAGTTATTTCAATTTTATAATTTCTCGCCCAATCTTTCTCTTTTAGATGATCACAGTCGAGTTCATCTACATCCCATTCCTGGCCAGAAAAAGAATCTAGACTACATAAATGCCAACTATATTGATGGATATCAAAAGGCGAGGGCCTTCATTGGGACTCAAGGTCCATTGCCCGATACCTTTGATTGTTTTTGGCGCATGATTTGGGAACAACGTGTTGCCATCATTGTAATGATTACGAATTTAGTAGAACGTGGCCGCCGCAAATGTGATATGTATTGGCCCAAGGAGGGTGTAGAGACCTATGGGGTCATACAAGTGAAACTAGTCGATGAGGAAGTAATGGCCATGTATACCGTGAGAACTTTACAAATTAAACATTTGAAGGTAAACAGCATTGTTGGAATATTTTTTGCACTCAAATTCCTATATAATTTCATTGTCATTTTCTCATTTTGCAGCTCAAGAAAAAGAAACAGTGCAATACTGAAAAAATCGTCTATCAATATCATTACACCAATTGGCCAGACCATGGGACACCCGATCATCCCTTGCCGGTATTGAATTTCGTTAAGAAATCATCCGCTGCAAATCCACCTGATGCTGGTCCCATTGTTGTGCACTGTAGTGCTGGTGTGGGCCGTACCGGTACTTATATCGTACTCGATGCCATGCTCAAGCAAATCCAACACAAGGGTGTTGTCAACAGTTTTGGTTTCCTGCGCCACATTCGTATACAGAGAAATTTCTTGGTACAAACCGAAGAACAATATATTTTCATACACGACGCCCTAGTTGAGGCCATTGCATCGGGTGAAACAAATCTAACGGCTCAACAAATCGAGGAACTGAAGAATTGTACACCATATTTGGAGCAGCAGTATCGCAACATTATCCAATTCCAGACCAAAGATGTACACATTGCATCGGCAATGAAGCAAGTTAATTCGATCAAGAATCGTGGTGCTATATTCCCCATCGAGGGCAGTAGGGTACATCTAACACCCAAGCCGGGTGAGGAGGGTAGCGATTATATAAATGCCTCATGGCTGCATGGGTTTAGAAGACTGCGTGACTTTATTGTCACCCAACATCCCATGACCCATACGGTCAAAGATTTTTGGCAAATGGTATGGGATCATAATGCCCAGACAATTGTTTTACTCTCGTCGCTGGATGAAATCGTAAGCAATCAGAAAAATATATATATTAAACAAGTTTTTTAATTGTCCCCTTTGTGTTTTTTCACAGAATTTTGCCCAATTCTGGCCAGATGACACATCACCCATCGAAAGTGATTATTATCGTGTCAAGTTTTTGAGTAAAACAAACAAATCCGATTATGTTAGCCGTGATTTCGTTATACAATCAATACAGGACGACTATGAACTAAGTGTGAAAATGTTACACTGCCCCAGCTGGCCGGAAATGTCGAATCCCAGCAGCATTTATGATTTCATAGTCGATGTCCATGATCGGGGCAATGATTATCGTAATGGACCAATTGTTGTTGTGGATAGGTAAGCTGTTACATTTGAAATGAAATTATGAAGTCTAACCACTGCTTTGTTTTTCCAGATATGGCGGCGCCCAAGCCTGTACATTTTGTGCCATTTCTTCGCTGGCGATTGAGATGGAATACTGTCAAATGGCAAATATCTATCAATATGCCAAATTGTATCACAACAAACGTCCCGGTGTTTGGACATCTAGTGAAGATATACGCTTAATATACAACATACTCGCTTTGCTGCCACGTAATCTGCAGTTGCTGAAACGAACTGCCATCAAAATTGAAATTGAGGATGTGACAACAGCAACGCCGGATCTATATAGTAAAATTTGCAGTAATGGTAATAATGATTTACAACAAAAACACAATAGTGAAACAAAACGTAATAGCAGTTCTCAATCAAATCAAAAATCAATTTTAAATCAAAACAATTCCAATCCAAATCCGAATCCTACAACAACGAATTCATGTCTAAATTACAACAATCATAGTAACACAACAACAGCAACAACAACAATAACAACAAATGCACCAGCAATCACAGCCACACCAACACAGACAACAGCCATATCTGCTGTTGGTGGTAACGCTGCTGCTGCTGCTGCATTACATATTCAAAATAATCAGTCATCATCATTACCATCTCCCACACAAAATTCTGTATCCCATAACAATTATAACTTATCTGCTACAGCAAATACAACAACTACAACAAATCCAAATTCAAATCTATCAAGATCATCTTCATTATTGGAAAACGTCCATCACCACCATAACAACCACCACCACCACCAAAACCATAGCCATAATTATAACAATCATCATCATCATCATAATAATCCTTCAATACCACCACCTTCCCATAATAATAGTAATTTATGTATGAATATAACCTCTAACAGTGAAACTAATTCTAATTTTAATAATTCTTCTAATACTATAACTACTACCAATACCACCAACGATTCTACTACTACTACTACTACTCCCACAACCACCACTACTACTACTACTCCATCATTGTCTACTAACCACGGTGATGGGGATGATCTAAATTCTACTGTCAATGCATCTGCAACAACAACAACAACACAACCACCTCCGCCACCACAATTTGCCGGTACTATTGCAAATGTTGACGAAAACTCAACATCATCACCGGTCTATCAACAACAACAACAAATGCTGGCCCTATTAAATCAACAACAATATATTCAACACTTTGCCAATCAAAATGACATCACGGATGTTGATTGTGATAATATAACCTCATACACTCCACCACCTCCACCGGCGGCATTCAATACTGGATTCTCGTCATCGTCCTCGGTAACCAATAAAAATGTGACGGGCTCACCACCACATCATGCTGCTTTGCATATTGTCGATCATCATCCGATTGATGCAATTGTTGATTATCCCATGGGTTATAATCCACCCACAATTGCCGATGCCGATTATCCTCCATCGTTGGGTGTAACACCATCAACGTCTTCATCGACTGTCATCAATGCCAATGAAATTACCACACCATTACTAAATCCTCCAACCAATTCATCCATGAATACATCAACGAATTCCCCTTCACCAATACCCCAACCAAATGCTTCTACTTCTCCATCTCCCTCACCGGCGACAACGCCAACGGCATTCTTTAATAATCCCAATACTAACAATGGTGCTTGTCTAAATAATCTCACCTCCACATCCACAGTTACTGATGCTCAAAGCTTAGATATCGTAGGTTAAATTATGCAATAGACGATAAAAACCTAAAAATAACACAACAACAACAAATAAATAAAATGAGGAATATATATATACACACATAGAGATATAATCATATGAGTCGTTCCAAGTGGAGTCGGGCAAATGAGCAAAAAGTTTTTAATAATTTAAAATTTTTTTTTTGTCGTAACAGACAAAACCAACTTACATGGTTATGCTACTTCGTTCAGGCTGAACGAAAGCATAACAAGTGGAAAAAGATGTAAATGTTTATAAGTGCGGTTGTAAGATTTAGAAGACTTTCCAAGAGAATTTTAGTTTTATTTAATTCTTTGGTTCCTCTTCTATTGAGCTTACGATCTCGTCACTTGGGTAAAAAAATGTTTTTTGTCATAGAAGTTATTTTTAAAATAACTTCTGGGGAGAATATCCCAGACAAAAACAAGGGAACTGATGAGGATTGGTGGCTCTTTCCGAAACCTAGGTATTCCCTGCCTTACCCCCTGGTAAACATTACCATCGTTCTCCACTAATAAACAAACGTTGTTTTTATAAAAACAACAATAAAGGGATAAAGCCAGACCATTTTGCAACAACAAAATACTACGATATCCCGAACAAACAAGCCACACTGTTCTATTAATAGACAAGGCACGGTCGACGAAGGGGTTTTTGTCGTAACAGACAAAACCAACTTACATGGTTATGCTACTTCGTTCAGGCTGAACGAAAGCATAACAAGTGGAAAAAGATGTAAATGTTTAAAAGTGCGGTTGTAAGATTTAGAAGACTTTCCAAGAGAATTTTAGTTTTATTTAATTCTTTGGTTCCTCTTCTATTGAGCTTACGATCTCGTCACTTGGGTAAAAAAATGTTTTTTGTCATAGAAGTTATTTTTAAAATAACTTCTGGGGAGAATATCCCAGACAAAAACAAGGGAACTGATGAGGATTGGTGGCTCTTTCCGAAACCTAGGTATTCCCTGCCTTACCCCCTGGTAAACATTACCATCGTTCTCCACTAATAAACAAACGTTGTTTTTATAAAAACAACAATAAAGGGATAAAGCCAGACCATTTTGCAACAACAAAATACTACGATATCCCGAACAAACAAGCCACACTGTTCTATTAATAGACAAGGCACGGTCGACGAAGGGGTTTTTGTCGTAACAGACAAAACCAACTTACATGGTTATGCTACTTCGTTCAGGCTGAACGAAAGCATAACAAGTGGAAAAAGATGTAAATGTTTATAAGTGCGGTTGTAAGATTTAGAAGACTTTCCAAGAGAATTTTAGTTTTATTTAATTCTTTGGTTCCTCTTCTATTGAGCTTACGATCTCGTCACTTGGGTAAAAAAATGTTTTTTGTCATAGAAGTTATTTTTAAAATAACTTCTGGGGAGAATATCCCAGACAAAAACAAGGGAACTGATGAGGATTGGTGGCTCTTTCCGAAACCTAGGTATTCCCTGCCTTACCCCCTGGTAAACATTACCATCGTTCTCCACTAATAAACAAACGTTGTTTTTATAAAAACAACAATAAAGGGATAAAGCCAGACCATTTTGCAACAACAAAATACTACGATATCCCGAACAAACAAGCCACACTGTTCTATTAATAGACAAGGCACGGTCGACGAAGGGGTTTTTGTCGTAACAGACAAAACCAACTTACATGGTTATGCTACTTCGTTCAGGCTGAACGAAAGCATAACAAGTGGAAAAAGATGTAAATGTTTATAAGTGCGGTTGTAAGATTTAGAAGACTTTCCAAGAGAATTTTAGTTTTATTTAATTCTTTGGTTCCTCTTCTATTGAGCTTACGATCTCGTCACTTGGGTAAAAAAATGTTTTTTGTCATAGAAGTTATTTTTAAAATAACTTCTGGGGAGAATATCCCAGACAAAAACAAGGGAACTGATGAGGATTGGTGGCTCTTTCCGAAACCTAGGTATTCCCTGCCTTACCCCCTGGTAAACATTACCATCGTTCTCCACTAATAAACAAACGTTGTTTTTATAAAAACAACAATAAAGGGATAAAGCCAGACCATTCTGCAACAACAAAATACTACGATATCCCGAACAAACAAGCCACACTGTTCTATTAATAGACAAGGCACGGTCGACGAAGGGGTTTTTGTCGTAACAGACAAAACCAACTTACATGGTTATGCTACTTCGTTCAGGCTGAACGAAAGCATAACAAGTGGAAAAAGATGTAAATGTTTATAAGTGCGGTTGTAAGATTTAGAAGACTTTCCAAGAGAATTTTAGTTTTATTTAATTCTTTGGTTCCTCTTCTATTGAGCTTACGATCTCGTCACTTGGGTAAAAAAAATGTTTTTTGTCATAGAAGTTATTTTTAAAATAACTTCTGGGGAGAATATCCCAGACAAAAACAAGGGAACTGATGAGGATTGGTGGCTCTTTCCGAAACCTAGGTATTCCCTGCCTTACCCCCTGGTAAACATTACCATCGTTCTCCACTAATAAACAAACGTTGTTTTTATAAAAACAACAATAAAGGGATAAAGCCAGACCATTTTGCAACAACAAAATTTTTGGAAGAATTCTTAAAATATTGGCGTCTAATTTTGTAGTATGTGTGAATGAATCCAGCACATTTCTCTGAGAAAAATACTAAGACTTTGTTGTCCGCAATGTTTTTTATTTATTTATTGGCTATATCTTTATGGAAAAAGGTATTCCCCGAAAAAATTTCTATGTTGTCCGTAATATGTTAAAATTTTATGTGGCTGTTTGTTTGTTGAATAGAATAATGTTTTATAATTATAAAGTTTGTACGGATGTGAATAAGTTGGCTAGGTATATAGGTGATGGTACATAAGCAGCTTGGCCAAAATTCCCAAATTAAAAGGGAAAATAACCACAGGATTCGAAGGCAGCTCTGTCATTCCTTTATAATGTGTCACAAAATATGCCATATGCCAAGCTTAAGTCCAGTCGACCCGTCGTAGTCTCAAAACACAAATAGCAGTTCTTAAGTTTTTTGTCTTCAATTTCCTTAAAATGTGGGCTCATTTATATTTATTTGTAAGGTAAATAAATGAAATGAATGTATTTTTACAATTTTCCAATTTTATGCAATAAATATACCAGTAACGCGAGAGCTATCTGAAACTTGCTGGAAAATATATCGGTATAATGATAACGTTTTTACAGAATTTGATTTTTAAAATCACATTATTTTAAATTCGCCTAAAGCTCTGGACCCAAGTGTGTACCCATAAACATAGATATTAGAATTACAAATAAGTAATAAATTGTAATGTAAAGCAAACAACAACAACAAAAAGATCTTATGCACACACACAGTGGACATATTTAAAACACTCACAAAACAAACAAACAAATAATACATTCACAAAAAAAGAAAGGACAAGGATAACTAACCTTAAAAAACTAAACCGAAGAGTAAAAAATGTGAAACAAAAATTGTAGATTAGCACCAAACAAAAATTATTATTAAAAAATGAAAAAAAACAAAACAAAAATGGAAAAACAAATTCACAAAAATACATCAAAAACCATCATGCATACACATACATCATAAATAGTTCATTCGCGTAATTATACATTTATACAGATTATATATAAATATAGATATATTACCTATATACAAGGTGGAAACATGCAATCCCTTTTCTTCCCCCCGCCAAATCCTATCCCATTATTATCGAACGACCATCCTTATTATTACTATTATTATTATTACCATTAGCAGCCCTTATATTTAATAACGATGACTTTCCCTATTTTCCTAGGATATACGTTTCTAAATTTGTAACACAAAAATCAACGACTTATTTTTTAAGTAAAATGTCTAATTTTTTATATACATATAACAAATTGCATATATATAGTTTTTTTTTTAAATATATAAATATTAATATTTTTTCTATTAAATTATTTATTTAGTTTGTATGTAATATTGAGTTGGCGTAATATCCACACACACACACACATACATATATAAATAGCATTACATTTATACATTGCCTGTGTATTTTACTGTAATTAAGTTTTAACCATACAAAACAACAAAATGTTGTATCCTTAGTCATTTGTTATTACAAAATCAAAAAACAAAAAAAACCTAAAACATAAAACATAACAAAAATGTATATGTATATCATTATTTCTTGATCTCTCCCACATTTCTGGGCTCTGGACAGATGGCGACGAGGTGACAACGACAAGTGTAGCGTAAGTCGAGTTTTATATAGTGTGCTTGTATTTCTTCCTGATAAGAAATTGTATTTGTCAAATAAAACAAAAGAAAAATAATAATTAAACAAAAGAACAAAACCCAATCCCGTTTAATTTAAATGGAGTATTAATTGCATTACAAAGTGTTTTGGATTTACGATAATCCTCTCAAAGGAGTTTTCATACATATTGCTAGGAATTGATTAATTAGAATTAAAATCGAAAATCCTTCCCAAAGGCATCTTCCAGAATAGAACCATACCTTAAATGATATATTCTTAAATTTGATTTTGATTTTTGCCGGATTCAAGAAAATATATACATTTTGTCTCGGTTGCAAATGAATCAGTAAAAAACTCACGTTTTCATTGGAACGGGCTTTGGCCATTTTGATCGAACTTGTTGTGGAAATTCAGTTCATGTTTTAGTACATAGTGACAAAGACAACGTGGGAGGAACATCTCGAGAGATCAGCATCTTATTGTAGGAAAGAAAAGCAGTGTATACGTGAAGTGAGTACTCGGAAGAAAGCCATTTGGTGACCAGATTAAAAAACGACAAATGTAATTTTTTGAGCATATATTACGTAAAAATAGGCACTGATCTTATCAAAAGGCGTAGGTATATTTTAGTAATTTTCCCTCTAGTGCCACATATACTACTCTTGAACCATTTTTTGATTCCTTAAAATTGCCTAGAATTAGAAAATATTCATTTTTCTTTTTTCATTCAAAAAATATTTTTTTCTTTGAATCTGATTTTTTTTATTTTTTTAAAATATTTTAACCCAAAAACAAAAAAAATCTCACAAATATTCAGATATATAAAACAAAAATCTTAAGAACCTATAAAATCTGTATAATTTGACAAGTAACGACTTAAACGTTATTATGCCTACCGATGTCCCATTATCGCTTTTCCAGCATCTTAAAATGTTTTCAAAATCTAAATAAAACATGTTCTCAAAGTCTGTCTTTTGCCCATTGTCAAACCAATATTTGTACTCCTTGTTTTAAAACATATTTTAATTGATCCCCAGTGTATCCCTAATTTATTGGTATAATGTCCGTCCTAATTTCAAATTGTTTTTTCAACATGAATTCAATTCCTCGAAAAAAAAACAAAAATGTTGTAAAAAAAAACCGAAATAAATATTGCTCATATAGCCCATAGATAAAATTTTGAAAAAAAGAAAATAAATCGAAAATACATACTAAAAAAAACTTCAAACAAAACAAAAAACATTTACAAATAAGCACCAAGGCACAAGTGATTGAATAAAAGAAATACATATGTAAATACACTTTATAAATATAGAATAAATTACGTATTTATAAATAAAGAAGAACAAAAAACAAACAGAATAAATACATAAGATAATTTTTGTAAATTTTATGTACTAATTTAAAAAAAAAAGAAAAACACAAAATACAATTTTAATTTTTAAATAAGCCAATCGAAAAACCGAATATCTCTGATTACAAATGGAATGTTTCAAAATGACATGAATTGAATGTAAAATTCTTTAATTTCACTTCATTCATTTTTTTTCTTTGGAACTCTACACTTAAGGACAAGATATAAGGAAGAAACCCAACAAGCAAACAAGTATTATACATTATAATAAAGCAAATACAAAACAACAAAAAAAAACAAAAAGAGAATGAAATAAATATACGAAAGAAACGATTTAACGAATAAAATAAAATGTGTTTGTTTTAATTACAAGGCTTTTCTAAAATACATTGTGAACTGCGGCTGATGAGAATTGTATTGATGGGTCTTTACGTTTCAAAATATATTGATAACGAGATCTCATACAGGGTGAATTAAAAAAACTGCAACAATCGCCATGATTTTTATTTTTTTAAATTTTATTGAATGAAAGCAAAACTGTCGGAAATAGCATCAAATTTTAGATTTGTTCGAATTGGTAACCTTTGGCGCGAATTATGACCTTTAAACGGCCAATGGAAGCGTCACACGCTGCCCAATTGTTGTTCTGCGGTATTTTGGCCCCTTCCCGGCGAAGCACTTGCTTGAGGTGTCGAAGGTGAAGGAAATCGAGCATTCATACCCGATTTCTGGTTACGAGAAATATTTAGATATATCACGTTGTAAAGAATCGCCGATTTGTTTCGCAAGTTATGACAGATAAAAGTATTGGAAATTTTGACCCTTTGTGGGTGAGTTACCAGAAGGGGTTATCTTCGCAACAGACCTTACATTAGCAAAAATATTTGGATGTGTGAAATTTGTTATTTTATTTCGCTTTTTTTTGAGCGTTTCGTTTTTCAGAATCTTGAACCTTATGTGGGGGAGGTACCAGAAGAATCTTGTGTTGATGGAAAATATTGAGATGTATCAAGTCTGAATGGAAACGGACGTTATTTTAGCGTTTTATGAGCTTCATGAATATTCAATATTTTTACCCTTTGTGGGGGAGGTACCAGAAGGAGTCGACCGATATATTCTATCTTCACACCCAACCTTTGGTTAATAAAAACAATGTGAAGGATGTAATTTGAAGAGAACCGGATGATATGTTAGTTTTGGTTATTCAAAATGTTGGCCCTTTGTGGAGAAGGTACCAGAAGGAATGGTCCGATCTCTACCATCTTTATAACAGATCTTGTGTTGATGGGAATATTGAGATGTACCAAGTCTGAATAGAATCGGATGTTATTTTCGCGTTTTATGAGCTTCATGAATATTCAAAATGTTGACCCTTTGAGGCGGAGGTACCAGAAGGAGTCGGCCGATATATTCCATCTTCACACCAAACCTTTGGTTAATAAGAACAATGTGATGTGTTTAATTTGAAGAGAACCGGATGCTTCATTTCGAGTTTTATAAGGAAGGTGCTTGATGGAGTGGACCGATATTGTCCATTTTCACACCTGAGCTGGCACTGGTGCAAATATTGGAATTTGCAATGTTAAGCAAAATCTTTCTCTTTCTGTGCAGAAAATTATTTTCTTTGAAAATGTCGGCATTTTGTGGAGAGGCACCGGAAGGAGTGGACCGATATTGCCCATCTCCGAACTCGATCTAAGTTTGATTATATTACGATATACCAAGTTTGAATTAAATCGGATACTCGAGAGTTATCGTGCGCACCAGCCAGCCAGTCAGACGGACGGACATCGCTAGATCGACTCCAAATGCTCTGAGACGGATCTGGTCAGATACGAATCGGTCAACTGCTTCGGCTGGCTCAAGGCTGGCGGTATAAATATGTCGGCAAAACCGACTTGTTTTTTTTTGTTTTAAATCCTCTCTTCTCTCTTTCCTATCCTATCTCCAACAACTTTATTCTTACTAGGATGAACACAATGGACCAAAGGCCTTCGAGTGAAGCAGTTGCTAAATCCCGTGTAGGTGCGCATCCTTAAACCAAACCACCTAATCATCTAATATTACACAGATGGCACACAATAAAATTGAAATGGGGCCAAGATACGGATGGGAGCTAAATCTAAATTTGGACCGATAACACCAATAACACCAATGGGGTTCGTCTTTGGGCCAAACAAATGATTTCATCTCAATTGGGCAATAAATGAAACCTGTACGTTTTTTACAAAAATACATGGACAGACGGACGTTTCAGAATATGATACTATTATTTTCATTAAAAGAAACTATGGGTCAAACAAATGTACAAAGACATAATACCATGTACGACAATGTGGTGCAACGAGGTAGCCAGAAATGCCTTCCGAAACAATTTCGGGGGATTCAAACGTCAAAAAATTCGAATTTCAAACAAAATTCTTTAAAAATATTTTAAAAATTGAAAAATGTTGTTTTGGGAATCATCATTATTTCTCATTCCTGAGAGTAAAAAAAAAATTGAGGTTTCCTCACATTTAGTTTTTACATTTGAGGCATTTAGTGCAAACATTTCAAATGTCGCCCTTCTCCCACCTAATCCTATTTTCTTCCACACCCAGAAAATCCATGAAGGCACCACCAGTTGCATTGTGAAACACCCACACAAAAGACATGTTAAAAAATTGTATTCAAAAACACAACGCACGCGATTCAGCAATTATTGGTGTCATTTAACTATTTGGCTTTGCAGCCACCAGTAGTAATTAAACTCTTCTTATGTACTTTGCCGTGTAGCTGCATATATCAACGGTTTTAACAATGTTGGGTTAGTGTTAGTTTTTTTGTTTTATCAAATTGTCAAATTTATTACGTAGGATTATGTGAGGCGGCCGCAAATTCCAGTGTTATCAGACAGGGTGACGTTGATGATATTAATATCCTCATTAGGTGTACTTATTGAGACTTAAAATTGATTGTTTTGCTTTTCATCAACGTTTTTTTTTATCTATTTGTGCTTTCCCCATACGCAACAGCAGAATTACTATTATACAAATATGGGTTTTTTTACGGAGGTAAAAATACACAGTTGAGGAAAATGATGGATGTTATCAAGAGCAATGCGTCATAGTTAATGGATGAAAGAAAAAGTGGTGCAGATAAAACTCCATACAATGGATGAAAAATAAAAGGTAATATAGTTAAATGAGAATAAAATAATAAAACGTATAAAAATTATACTGGCACTTGTTTTATTTGTATTGTTGTAAATGCTTAAAGAAAACACATAGGCATTCTAATAAAACAAGAAAAAAACTTTATTGCACAAATTTCAGAGGTTACCGTATATAGAACCATTTTTGCTGTATGTGTAAACACAAAACTCAATGGTCATAAGGCCAAAATGACTTCTGGGAAAGGCGGAAGGAAGCCATTCTAGTTTTAAACCGGATTTGTCATTCTTTGTTTGAAATAAAAAAAAAAACAAAACACTTTGTTACTATCTATCTACTTGGGGTACTGAATTGCAAGCAAACACTTACCTCATATGTATCCGAAGCAGTTTCAGGGGCATTCGAGAACTTGAGAAAAACTCTTTGCTCCGGCTCTTTTGGACGACATTTGGTAACAGTTATTTGGCTAGAGATTTTAGAAAAGAATGGCACAAAATTTCCATCTTTAAGTGGTTCCGTTGGTCGTTGCAATTCCAATTTGGACTGAAAATAAAAAGAAAAAATTTCCTCAATATAAAACTATTAATTGGGTAAAAAAATTTTAAATTTGGAACAAAGGGGAAGAACATAAAAAGATTTTCCGATTTATAAAGTAAAACAAGTAAAAAAAGCTGTAAGATCGGCGGGGCCAAACTTGGATACCCTCCACCATTTGAAATGACTTTGGCAATTTTCGAAAAAAAAAAAATCTGTTAAAATTTCTGTTAAAATCTATAAACGGTAACGGTATAAAAATGGTAAAACTTGAAAAACAAGTAGACGGCCGAATTCGGTGGCGTATTTTTATTCCCTAAGCCAATGATTAAACACTCATATATGTATGATGAAAAATGGAGCGTTTTTCAGGCGGAGACTCTTGATTACAAAAATTAGAAGGCAGACGAAATGCTGAGACAACTCTGGACGGGGAATTAGCTCGAAGTGGTTCCAAGTCTATTGATCTATTAAACCAACAATAAGCTATAATGTCTGCTACTTTAAAAAGTCTCTTATTGAAGAAAGCGGAAGAATCTGGAGTTGGAAACATGTTGCATGATATCTAAGGCCATATTTAGAAGAAGAACAAGCTCCCTTCTATGACTTAGTTGGTCTGATATAAGAATCGCGGTGGACATACTAATCAGATATCTGACCTCAATAGGGCATTACAGTGTTATTGACAACAGTAGACTATGTGAAGCTGAAAAGAGGTAGAGAGGTCCTACGTCAATGAGATAGACTATTTGACAGATGAGGGATAGAAAACCAACATCAGATACACGTTTGTGAAAAGCATTCCCTGACTAGGCAGACCAGCCTGCTAACTACACTTCTCTCTATAAAATCTTTCTTCTATTTCTCGCTTCATTATCTCTCCCACAACCAAAAACTTTATTCTTCCTAAAATGAACCATATATCCGAGTGAAGAGTTGCCGCCTACCGTTAACTGCGATACCTTAAAACAAACCAGCAATTTTACATTTTCTGGACCGATTGCTAACCGAATGTTTTTGTTTATGTTTGGTTTGTTAACCTTGTAGGCAAAAGCAGAATTCCATGCAGCAGACCAAAATTAACAAAAAAGACACATAGCGCGAAATCGAATTGCATTATAAAAATTTGTGCACTCCACAATTTCTTGGAACTCGTGCACCACTTGAGAACGTAGACGAAAATGAAATTGATAAAAATTCAAAACACTTCAGGTTAATATGAACCCGTGACAATAAATTAAATTATTTTGGCATACATTTATTCGTCACGATCTATTCAACAATCCTCGTGATGACGGAGAAGATTGCATTGATAAGATTGTTTTAACAAGAATCAATAACTTTGTGTCGATTAATATCTTGCATGTTAGCAGTTTGTTGCCCCGATGATTCAAATGTAACAGATATAGGACAAAGTACACAAAGTAAGAAAAAAACATGAAAATACCAACTAACTATCTTAAATCGGCACTACCTAAAAAATGAATTCCGATTCCTTTTTTCAAATAAAGCGTATTTGAAAATAATTAATGTTAACAAAGCTTTACGTTCAAAATATGGGTCAAGTTCAACAATGTACAAGCTGCGATAAATCGTTTTTGGATGCCGTTAATCCAAGACTACCTGTTGAGTCTGATATATGGGAAGAGTTCAGAGCGACAGTATTCAAAAAGAGCAGTCACTCGCCTTCAAAGTCTAAAACCTAATTAATAGCCCTGCCTCTTTCCCTTAAAGACCTAAGAAAAGTTCTGAAATTAAGAAGTAGAACTAATGTTGACGAAACCGATCTAAACGACCTAGAAACCTTGTTGACCTCTTATAACGCGATAGGTCGGTCTGTGGTCAACTATGCGGCTCCAGTGTGGTCTGCGAATACTAGTGCTACGCAGTGGAAGAATATCCAGACCTGCCAGAACGCTGCCCTGAGAACTGCGACAGGGTGCCTCCTCATGACACCAGTGGACCATCTACATGAGGAGGCGAAAGTCCTTCCCTTACGTCAGCATAATCATATGCTTTCGTTGCAGTACCTGCTTGGGTGTTACCGTGAGAGCCATCCCAACCATCATATGGTGGATAACTCTCCCCCACCCAGGCGTGTCAGGAAGGACATACATGATCTAGAGAGGGAGGTCCAGCGCTACAAGAGAGAGCCTCTAGATCAAGAAGCCTATCAGGCAGGTCTGAGTGGCATTCACACCGATGCAGTCGCGGATGCTATTAGCAGTTATAAAGTGAATGCCGTCCTCGGAGTCCACCCCCCATCCATTGCAGCCGAAGAACGTCAGCTGCCTAGACAAACCAGGGTAGTTTTGGCGCAATTACGTTCAGGATGGTGTAGTCGCCTCAATTCGTACTGGGCACGAATTGATGAAGATGTGCGTGACGCCTGCCCGGCGTGTGATACAGGCCCGCACAATACGCTACACCTTTTTAATTGCTCAGCCAAACCTACCCAACTCACTCCAGAGGATCTCTGGCTACAGCCCGTTAAAGTAGCCGAATTTCTAAACCTGGAGCTGGAACCAGATTAGCAGAACACAAACACACACATGTACTACTGCTACAACAACAACAACCTAGTTTATTATATAAAAAGGAAAATATTCTTCTTCAAATTTGTTTCTTATTGCTTATTTTTTATGTGAATAAGTCATTTGTGTCTCGTACCATTACCGCGTCACAGTGGCCGAAATATGGCTCGTGAGCTGAACATATCGCAATATTCCATTCGGCAAATATTGAAAAATGAGCTCGGGGCAAAGCCATTGAAATTCCAGATGTGCAAGAACTTACACCGTACAACAGAAAGAAATAGATTTAAAAGAGCTAAAGATCAGCTTTGCTTGGCCGGAAGTGGTGATCTGCCGAATTTGATTTTCTCCGATGAGAAAACATTAGTTGTCCAGCAGTTGGTTAACAAAGAAAATGATCGTGCAAGAGGTCAGCTGAAAATGTGAACCTTCGGTTGGCCACCAGAACTCAAGCGCCGGCCTGTGATGGTGTGCGCCGCCATAACAGCCGATGGTCGCTCTCGGCTCGTATAAATGCCGAATATTATCGCGAAAATATTCTGGAGGGTGTATTAAAGCATTTTGGCCGGAGACCTGGGACATTCTAACAGGATTCAGCACCATCGCAATCAGCATGCGCCACCCAAGAATGGTTACAAAATGAGGTTATTCGCTTCATTTCCAGCGCATAATGGCCACCAAAATCTCCGAATACCAATCCGCTGGACGCTGGAGTATTTTGAAAAGTAAGGTTGGCACTAAAAAATACCAAAGTGTTGATCAACTCAAGCAGGCTCATCGCCGGGAATGGGCCAAAATACCACAGAGCAACATTCGGGCAGTGTGTGATTGGCCATAATTCGTGCCAAAGGTGACCAATTCGAAAAAATCTAAACTTATTTAAAATTTTATGCTATTTCCGACATTTTTTGCTTTCATTCAATGAAATTTAAAAAAAATGTAAAAATGTATTGACCCTAGTTTTATTCCACATTTAATTTGAATTTTGCACATTGTTAAAAGTTCTACCCACGACCGAGCAAAAGTAGTTCATGGACAGAACTTTTAGCAGCGTGCAAATTTATTCGACTGCATGAATTATCTATAATTAAACAAGGCCTACTGTTGAATATAAATCCTTGCAAATTCCTTCCTTCATACAACCATCAAAATTTTTTAAATGTGTAGACATTTTTTTATGCACTCACATTTTTGGTTGAAAATATCCTTTTAACGGCCGCTGCTTGATTGAAATACCATCCATATTTAATGAGACCTTTATGTTTGCCGCTGGTTAATACTTGAGTAAAACTGGGCAGTCTGGGTTTGTTATTGAAACCAAAAGTTTTACTGAAATGTGAGAACATATCCTAAATAAAAAGCGGAAAGAAATTACAAAATCTTGTAAACATCTCTATAAATTCCAAAATAATAACTTACCTCGTGAACATGGAATGTATGCTTAATATTATTGGAGTCTTGTAATATAATACTGTCATTTAATATTTCTATTATATGGTCCAACCACGATTCATAAGACAATGCTGGTGCCATACTCGATGGCTGTGATGCATCCATTAGAGGCGGTGATGGTACTGTCGATGTGACAGTTACATTACTTATGGGTTGAATATTGATTGGTTTTTGTGAACTTTTTGTATTAAGTACTATTATTTTGCTAGAATCTATTTTGGAGATTTGTACAAATTTCTTATCAATTGTTGGCAGTTTTTGTATAACACCGGGTTTTGTGATTTTAATGATTTTAACGGGACTCTGTTTAACGATGACGGATTTGTTGAGAAAAACTGGTTTACACTTTGGTTTGATGATTACCGAATTTGAGGTATTTGCTACAAAATTTGTGGTGGCCTTTTGTAAATCATTGACCGTTGGGGTGTTGGGTTCTTTTTTGATTTGTTCAATGCCATTCAACTGGGTTGTGTCTAAACATGATTCTTGGGCTTGCGATTCAATATTGTTTAGACTTTCAATTTCCTGGGCTAAAACTATATTATCACATGATAGTTGAATGTCATTGCTCAATTGAAATTGTTCGACAACATTGAAGTTGGAATTTGGTGAAATGTTGGAGGGACTTGTTACCGAATCAGCAATTCTGTTTTGTTTAATGTGAGGGAAATTTATATCGAAATCTTCAACACTATTGTTGGAATTGAAGTGAGGATCTGATGTGGAGACTATTGGCAGGTATTGTTGTTGCATACATGATGATGAGGTTTTTTTCGCTTCTGTTTCCATGTCTGATAGCATGTCGGAAAAATCAGGAATGGTCTGAAAAAAAATTTAAAAAAGGTACGATATTTACTAAAAGCGAAACTTATAAAAATATTTATGTTTTGTAGCTAAAAAAGGAACAACATCCTTGTTCGTTATATTCAAAGAAACTCCATATTTTAATAAAAAAAACTTTTAGAACACTTTTAACTTTTAGAACAACGGCTGTTTGTAATACATACCAAAACAGATTTAGAAATAGGGAGAAGATATCTTAAGAAAAAAAAAACAGACATTTTTATACCCACAGCCATATGGCTACATATGGCATTTTGCGAGAATCTATAACATTTGATACTCCCAAAACGTACCTCATCGAAATAATGGTTTTAGTTTTAGTTTTTTATTCCAAACTTGGTACATCGTAATATTATTATCAAACTTAGATCGAGTTCGGAGATGGGCAATATCGGTCCACTCCTTCTGGTACCTCCCTCACAAAGGTTTAACATTTGGAATATTCATGAAGCTCATAAGTCACGAAATTAACATCCGATTCCATTCATACTTGGCACATCTCAATATTGCCATCAACGTAAGTTCTGTTATAATGATGGTAGAGATCGGACCATTTCTTCTGATACCTTCCGCACAAAGGGTCAACGTTTTAAATAACCAAAACGATCATAAAATCCGAGATAAGCATCCGGTTGTCTTCAAATTACACACACCACAATATTTTTATTAATCCAAGGTCTGGTGTGAAAATGGAATATATCGGTCTACAATATTGAGTATCCATGAAGTTCGTAAAAGACGAAATTAACATCCGATTCCATTCAGACTCAATATTTCCATCAACACAAGATCTGTTATAAAGATGGTATATATTGGGCCATTTCTTCTGGTACTTTCCCCACATAATGTTCAACATTTTTGACAAACAAAACGCTCAAAAAAGCGAAATAAGCATCCAACTCTCTTCAAATTTTACACATTCAAATATATTTGCTAACGCAAGATCTGTTGGGAAAATGATATATATCTGCCAACCACTTCTGGTACAATACTTATAGGTTATAATTTGCGAAACAAGTAGGTGATTTTTTACAACCTACTATAATTTCTCTTAATCAGAAACAACTCAAGCACATTCTAACATTTTCTAAAAACTATCACATATTTCATATAATGTGAAGGAAGTAACCAATATAGTCCAAACCTGGCACTTTGTAATATTTATATCATATTTATTTAGGTCCGATACGAAATATACAAACAATAATGGCCCCTTACTTCGGAACCTACTTCCTAGAAGGTCAAGAATTTGAATAATCGTGACAGAAGTAAAAATATATTTAAATATATTGGCTGAGGGTATCAATATGTCGAAAAAGCCGACTGATACTCTTTAACTCGTAGTCAATCGAATTTCTATGCTCCTTTTGTATCGTATTTGTTGTATTGTATTGTTTACTTAACATGCAATAATTGATTCAAATTGTTGATAAATCCGTAGTAAAATCTGCCAAAGTAGTAGAGAGGTCATGACAGAATCATGATTCCGTGAAAGATTTCGTTATTGTTACAAGGGCTTGGTGCGGCTAAGGCTACACGAACTACATCGAAACAAGCATTGGCAATTCTACTTAAAGGTAAGCTTTATAATCTTATTATCTAAAATCATGTTAAACGTGTTAAAACCGGCATCTAGACCCACGGTCGTTAAGTGGTGAAGTCGAATTTGAAAATCCCTCAAAATGTAAAAACCTAACAGGGTTCTAAAAGGCCCACTAATGTGAATTTTGCAAGATCGTTCAGTCTGCTGCATTTTCCAGCGTTGTATAATTTTTAGAGAACCCAGAAGAGATAACCAGACATGTAAAGCTATCCATCATAAATGGGTTTAATCATAGCTATGAACTCCATAATAATTCTAAAAATACTACAACAGTTCTCTAACTTGACCCTCTTGAATTGTAGACATTTAAATTATCAACAATGCCGTGTGATAATCTTAAAATATAACATAAAAATAATACTCCGTGGTAGCTATACCCAAACAGAGAAAGTCAGAGGCATTGAAATATCGGTGGGGTTGTATGTGTGCACATAGGTATATTTGTTTTTGTGCTAGCTAGGTAAATAATTAGTGAGATACTGGAAAAGCAATTAACACACATTACATACAACAAAAAGCCAAAATAAATCAAAAGTTTTTTTTACTAACTCAACCCGACCAAAGTGTGGAGTTGACACGCCGCCGTTTGTTATCTGCCAATAAATGCGCTTCATGCCGCTAACGACTACAGTAACGTCATGAATATAAACTGTGTACACATGTACGTACTCACATACTTTTCTTCCTCCCAGCTAGCATTTCGAAATATAATTACCGAATTTCCGTTGGGAATTTCTATCCAATTACATTCAATTTGATTAACATCAGAATGCTGTGAATGATGCATTCTAATGACCTTTTCCTTAGATGATAATTGCATGGCGTTACTTACGTTTTCGGCAAATAGATCTTCGTTGAAATTAAAAAAGTCTTCCGTGTTGCTGTTGTTGGATTTTCCAATTGGATTGACCTCATTTTTATCGTCACAATCAATCATGGGCATGTCGAAATCAGTAAGCGGAGAAGAACTTGAGTCAACCGGTGGGTTCAATGTGGTTGGCATCCATAGGTGTTGCAGGGCATCAAGAAAGGCACTATACATAGACTTGTCTGGCCGATTGAGAATGGCAGCAAGCAGTAACAAGAGATGATCACAGATTTCCTTTTTCATGGTAACAGAATTGTCGGGTTCAACAACGATTTTAAGTTTTTTACAGGCACACAAGTAGAAACCTTTCTTATTGGTCACGGCATCGGAACAAACTGTCACATGTAAGCGTCCCGCTAGAAAATTGTTTGAATTCAAAGATGTAACGGCAAAAGTTTGACCGTTTAAGCGTTGTATTGGTGGTATGTTTTCTTCATTTTCTCCGCGGCAATACGAGTCCCATAGCTTAGTTTTTTGCTCTTCACTAACGTTTAAATTCCACAAAACATTCTTGTCCAATTGATATACCTCAGCCAATTGGAAATCAGTATCGACCGAATAAATGGCCTTGATATGCTGGCAGTGGAAATCAGTTGGGGCCTCATTCTTACAGCCATCCACATAACAGGTAGCCTTCCGTGAAAATATACCAGTTGAGGGCGACTGACTGATAGCCACGAAGTTTCGCACGTTAACTATCTTCTCTTTAGTCCTCACCGAGAAGAGTCGGACATCGTTGTGTGTGACCAGCTGAATTGGATCAAACGGTTTGATGGAAGCCAACATACATTTGCGCAAATCACACTCTGTATTACGACATATAAGCGCTCGCTGACCACTAATAGAACCACACGAACCACATTTCTTTAGTCCCCTCAGCGACGAACGATGTAAAATATTATTAAATTTATTTAACTTGTCGCATTCCAACTCATTGGAAATCATTGTTTTGTCACAGAATCCGTTTTATATGCTCCAATTTATATTTTATTGGATCAGTTATGCGACGTCTGTGAATGTGGTCTTAAAAAATCATGTTTTCCAAAGAGCCGAAAGAGAGAGAACAACAAATTACAAATGTAAATAAAGGTTGAACTGACAGTTCGAGCAGGTGGTTGTGGTGAAGTTGCCAACCTAATGTTGAGGTGTTGGAAACATATGGTAGAAATTATAATGAAAATCGTTCCAAAAGTGACATTTAAGGGTGCAACAGGGCTACCGCTTTTATGTTTTTGGAATGTCTATTTATTTTTCGTTTCGTTTACATTCTAAAGGAAATAAAAGCATTGAGAAAAACGCGTTGAGGCGGGTACAATTGATCTGTTCCAGAACTACAAGAATATAAAAGTTTTTTACTACGATAACAGATTTTCCCTTTATGATATCGACAAAAATTGCAAAATTAATAGATTCTTGCAGGTTTTGAAACAGAGCATATATGTCGAAAAGGAAAAAAAATCATTCCGAATAAGATGCTCAGATTTCATTAAAACTATTAAAAAAAAAACTTTGTAATGGCGTTTTTTCACTTTGGCTTTCATCGTTGTAAAAAACACCGCTTTGAAGCCAGTCCCATAGCTTTTTCACAATTTTGTATTTTAAATGGAAAAGGCAGGAAAAGAGCCACCAATCCTCACAAGTTCCCCTGTTTTTTTTTTTCTGGGAATTTATTTAGATTTGTTTAAAAATAACTAATATGAAAAAATCTGTTTTATACTAAGGTGAAGATCGCAAATGTAATATAAATGAGGAAATGATTGTATGCATGATAAAATTGAATGCAGAGTTAGACATTATAATTAGAAATGAGGTTACCTTGATTTATTCGTACCATGCATTTTCCCTGCAATGGTTCAAATTTAGTTTGTAGCTAGCTCCGCGCTCTTTTAGTGAATTCGGTTTATTTTTTATCAAGTATTCCTTTTTGGCCTTTATATTCGTTGGAAACGACTTTCATTTTGGTTTTCCACGAGCGAATTCACTGTGTTCTCCAACAAAACAACAGGACAGAAGTGCACGCGCTTTAGAAGGACAACTCAACCACGATAACGACCAACTCATCTCACATTAAAGGGCTGTCCCAGAACCTGCAAGAATCTCCTAGTTTTGCAATATTTTTCGATATCATAAGGGAAAACTCGAAGTCGATTATTCGATTAATCGGAGGTCGACTTACCTATCGCTACTTCCCCCAAATTGACAAGCCTAACTGCAGAAGAGAGAAGTTAGTAAAGTTAGAACAAGACAACAATAGTTCTAAGTATATCATGTTAACCATTCGCTATGTAAACCTATCAAAGAAAGAAGAAGACTCAAATAAATAATTACCTTACTCTAACTGCAGAAGTAAGCCAACTTTATAAACAAGTTTTTAAAGAAAAATGTTATTTTTTGCTATTATAATAATTTGTTTTTTGCTAACGGTAGCATCGGACATTGTAAAGCTGGTAAGCACTTTATAATTATATACTGAACACTGTAAATCATATGTTCCCTTCCTCTAAATATAGCTACGGATCTCAGCGCTGTTTACAAACCGTCAATCTGAAAACACCGAACACCTGCAAGAGGAATTAAAAAAGGCAAAGGCCGAACTGGACAAGGTATTAAATGCCACTGGACAAGATCGTTATGTAGCCGAAATAAAGAGAATGCGTGCAGAGGATAAAGTGAATGAGGCACTTCGAAAAATCAAAGCCGAGCAACGAAAGGGTCAATTGAAAACTGTGTCTTTCGAAATAATGCTGGGTTATGGTTTCAAGGCTATTCTTTATATTTCACTGGCAGTGATATCCTTCAGGAATCGTTATAATCCCGTTTTGACATTCAGTGAAGACATAAGCCTGCAACCACTACAGGGTCTGCTAAGTTTTCCCACAGGCATACCCAACGCTATTTCGGTACCCATTTGGGTTCTATCATGCAATGTTACCTTCAGGTTAATGTCGGGTCTGGTAAAACAGTATTTACCAAGGAAGTAGATAACTACTCCAATATTTGGATGGACAAAACATGAAATGTTGAATATAAATTTAAATAGCTTTTAACAAATATAACTGTATTTATTTTCTTATATTATACAACTGTTCATTATTTAAACAATCAAACCCCACTTGGGCTTCAATCCACCTGGTTACGGTCAAAAGCAATTGTTCATTCAATACGTTGGCCATTAGTTGAAGGCCAATAGGTAGTCCTTGTTGAGATAAGCGTATTGGTAGTGATAAAGCTGGAATACCGGCCATATTAGCCGGCTGTGTACAGTAGTCTTGTACCGCACACTGATCCCGATTGGAAAGTGAAATAAAATCTTTATACAATGGTGCATCCGTTAGTGTTGTGGGTGTCAGCAGAATATCTACATTTTCATCGGCATTAACATTCTCAAATACATTTTGGAAATCATTGGCTATTAGACGTCTAACCCTGAGAGCCTTTTCAAAGTATTTGTTGTAGTTTTCCCTTAAAAGGAAATAATTTCCCGACAAAATGCGATTCTTAACCACACTGTTGAAGCCTTCAGCTCTGGTCTTGGCGTACAAATCCTCAGTGCTACGATCATCGTCTGCTCGATGTCCATATTCAATGCCATCATAACGAGCCATGTTACTTGCCACTTCACATTGATTTAGAATTGAGTAAACGTAAATGCTGCTCGGTGTGTGGGGCAATGATACTTGCTTAACCATTGCACCGCCATCTTCTAGTATATCAGCAATTTTGGCCCATGTCTCCAATACTTCTGGTGAAAGTCCAGTACAATGGTATTCCTTTGGTATACCAATGCGAATTTTGCTTAAATCAATCTGTTCTGGTTCGGGCAAAGCAATTGGATGATATGGTTTGGAAATTGTCGTAGAGTCTAAGCGATCGGGTCCAGCAATAGCATTTAAAATATCCACACAATCACTTGTAGAACGTGCAAATATTCCAGGAACGTCCATTGAGTTTACCAATGGTATAAGTCCATGGCGTGATACCAATCCATAGGTAGGTTTTAGGCCAACAACACCACAATATGCGGCAGGATTACGTGTGGAACCTCCAGTGTCGGAACCAATACCACTGGAAATAAAGTGAGGACGTATATGGTTAATATTTAATTATTTTATTTATAATTCCTACATGGTAATATGAAAAGTCTTTCAGACCAAAATTTTAAATTTGTCTCTGATCTAGGGAGGAAATAAATACAAGTATACGGAACTGATTTTCTTCTTTAGAATGGTATTTGGAAGGTCGTAACCAAGCTCTATATAACTTCTGCCAGTAGACCCATTTAACAACTTAGTTTGCTTTCAAAACACACAATTGTGATTTAAAATTCAAAGTAAGCTAGATCACAACGGTGTAAAATTCCTAATTTTACTATAGGCCATGACCAATTTTTACATTTTAAACTATATGGTCTACTCCATGGGGTACTGATTCCTATATATTTTAAATTGTCTCGAAAAAATTTACGTAATGTACAAATAAATTCTTTCAAACACGTTACGCATTTAATAACCCAACTTTAACTCGGAAAAAGTTGGCAACTCGTGTGTGGCTATCATTTCTTGACATTACTTTGACATTTAACTGTCAGTGGAGAGATTTTTGTAGCAGCGCTGTTAACAGTTGCGTGTGTGTTTTTTTTATAGATTTTTTCCATAAAATTCCTAATATTTTCCTTATTTCTTGCAGCGAAAAGCCAAACAAAAATGTCAGCTCTTTTGCGTTTTGTAAACCGTGCTGCTTTGCACCGCACATTGGCCGTGAGGGGTATCAAAACATCACCAAAAAAAGATGAAACAGCTGCCATCGCTACCCCCGTAACCAAAGAAGATTTTGCAAACCCCAATCCCAAGAATTGGGTAAGCTACGGTTTTGATCACAAAGACGAAGCCAATGACCGTAACTCAACAAAAGCTTCTTTCTTCTTTGCCGTAACATTGTGTTTGGTGTGGGGTACATTCTTCTGGGCCTACTTGCCCGATACACAAATGCGTGATTGGGCTCAACGTGAAGCATTTTTGGAGCTGAGACGCCGTGAAAAGGCCGGTTTGGATTTGGTCAGCCCCAACTATGTGGACCCATCCACAATTGTACTGCCTTCCGATGAAGAATTGGGTGACACCGAAATCATCATCTAAACAATTTTTGTGCTTTTCTTTTTAAAGAATTAAAACTACTATTAAGTGTAATTGATAAACAAAAACGTTATGTAATGAATAAATAGAAAATTCGAACAACCCACTGAAGGGGGAAGCTGTTGAAATAACGGAAATAAATTGTCGGAAAAGTGAATTGAAGTTGATCTTTTCGAAAATTGCGCAATAAACAATTAATGTTTGCATGGAAAATGAACGTTTGGCAATGTGAGGTTGTGTACCCCCCAAATTGTTGGTGTAGTGTTGGAATGGCAATGAAAGCAAAACAGCTGTTTTAAAATTAATGAACATTAAATTACTTACGCATAACAAATACCACTTGCAACTGCTATGGCAGAGCCTCCTGAACTTCCTCCTGCGATGCACCAGTCATTATTCTCCAGGCTTTTGCTCCACACATTTTTGGTTGGTCCAAATATAGAATCAACTGTGCCGGAACCCATTGCAAATTGGTCCATATTGGTTTTTCCAATCAATACCGCCCCGGCATTGACTAGACGTTCATACACCGTGGCATTGTAGGGAGGAACAAAATCTTGTAGCATCCTAAATTAAGTAAATGGTTTTATAAAATATTTAAAACATTTTTTCAAAAAATAAATAATTTTGCACTTACTTGGATGCACATGTTGTGGTTATGCCCTTGGTACAGAAGTTATCTTTCACTGCCACAGTGACCCCGTCCAATGGGCCCTTCTGTTGTTTTTCATGATAACGTAGCGCCGATTCCTTGGCCTGATGCAGAGCCAATTCCGGTGTAAGTTTTATAAATGCATTCAAATCTTTTAACTTAACAGCATCGTCTAGGGCGCAATCAACGACATGTCTCGGCGAATAGAACCCGCTACTGTAACTTGTCGTTAGCTAGAGTTGGAATATATTAAATTGATGAAGTGTTTATGTCATAAAATGATAAAATAATATATTAAAACCAAGTACTTGTTTTATATTCTGCCTGAGATGTCTTCTCATGTTAGAAAGCAAAAATGACAGAAAGAGGAGAGAAAAACAAACAGAGACATGGGGAAATGTAATCAGCTGGAGGATTCATTGAAATCGAGCAGCGGAACTAGTTGCTGAAATACAAACATGTATTTCACGTATTTTAAAAATTCGAATTGAATATCCAAGAGTGAAGAATTAAAAAAATAGGAAATTTGGTAAAAATTTAAGATTCTTACACCTAAAAAAGGATGTATGTCATTTTATACCAAAAAAAAAAATTAAAAACGTTCCAAACGTCACAGCAAAGAAACAACATCTGAAATATGAAAGGCAAATGCCATGACAGAATCATGAAGATGAGACAATGGCCTATAAACAATTCGCACAGGAGGTGAATAATACAGATAATAATGCATTCCCAGTTCTGTTTTTTCTGTAACAAATTCAAATCGGAGGTTGTTAAGATATGCATTTTTTTAAACAATTTTTATAAATTTGAATTATTTTTCATTAAAAATTTCAATTCTAAAATTGATTTGAATGTTCATTTTTTCAGCAGCTGTGTCGATGCGAATACCTGTATTATTCTACCATGCAATTGATTTATGAATCAACATTTTGACAATGAGATTTTGTCACATGAATTATTTTGCAAAACAAATTGTAAACATATGATTGCATGACTTTACTTTCTTAATTCAGCCATGGTTCTAACATGACAATCAAATCAAAATCAATGACTGGACCAAAAGTACATTGCGGTAGAATTCACTGATTGAACAATTTGGATTTTATTTTATTTAGACCAGGTATTTCATTCATCTTGACAAATTAATGAGAACAACTTGTTGCATATAATATTTAATAATTTTGACTGGGAGCGGGTCTCATAGCTTTATTTCAGTATATTTAAGAAGCTGTTCTAACTTCTTATTGTACCATGGTTTTTAATAAAAACCAAATACAAAATTTCCGAATTTTCTTATAATTTTCAAATCACAAGACTTTTATTTGACAGCTAAATTTGTAGACAATTGAGCTTTACTTTGTCACCTGTTTTCCAAATTATAACTTCGATAACATCACTTTGTCAACATTTATATTTATAAATATGATAAACGTTTATTTTACAAAGGACATTCAACATTCTTCAACTTCAAGAAAGTAATTTTTTACCACGATTACCGATTCTTCCTTTATGAAATCGGAAAAAATTGCAAAACTAGTAGATTCTTGCAGATATGTAATGACATGAAAACAAAGTACATTCAACACACCTTTCAAAGGACATACCAAGAAACTTGATTCGCATAGACACGGTTACTGGGAATTTTAAAATTGCAAATTTTGAATGAAAAATTAACCAAATTCGCTAAAATCGTTGAAAATGCATATCATAAGAACATCCAATTGGCGTCATACAAGAAAACATGTAGAAGTCTACCTATTTTTGAAAAACATTAAAAAATATATATATTTATGTTCCTAAACGCATATACCTGAATTCTTCTACAATAACTGTAACCCATGGTAATATTAAGAAGGTAAAGTCATTTCGAAAAAGACTATCCATTTCTGCATATTCGTCAAATTTCACTGAATAAAAAAATATTCCCATCTCTGATTTCTCTGTGTACAAGATGGATTTATAAATATAAATTTTGACAATGAGATATGAATAATATCTGGGATGTACTATTGAAGGCGAAGAAAGAAATCAAATTACATGCAAATGATATGAACATGTAAATGCTGTATTAGTTCAATTCCGTTTTGAACCTCTTTTTTCTATTAGTCACAAGTCGACCTGTGAATCCCTAATCTATTGACAGTTAGATTTTAGGATTTTCGGTGTGTGAGAGCGTGTGTGCCGCCGTCCATGGAACGTGAACATTGTTTTCGGTTAATTCTCTCACTTATTTGATTGTTGGTTTTAATTGTGATTTTAATTTGTTTAGTGACAATATGCCCGTATTTCAATAAAATTAGACAAATTGTTGTTAACACGAAAATCAACGGTCAGAAAACCCATACAAAAATCAGTAAAACAATCGGCTTCCCATAAATCCAAAACTTCTGAAAGTGGAGCGTTTGCGGCATACAACACTTACATACACACACATACAAATTATTTACTCTTGTGCTATATTAAACGCTATTAAATTTAAACAAAACATTCATTTGTGAAACTGAAATTTGCATTTGGAAAAAAGTAGTAAACTATATTTGTGACAAAACAAAAAGTGGTAAGAAATTCTATGCCAATTGACCTTTTGTTAAAATAGAGTAAAACTACGGAAGGGGAAGGAAGGTGAGTGTGATGTTCTATTTTGCTTACTTTTTGAAAAAAAAAAAGAAAAAATTACTCATCGTTTATGTTTAACTACACGCAAAGAAGAAAAAGGCATATGTCGGACAATATGTATTTTTATTTATATATATAATTCGCTCGAAAATCAATTGTTGCTCCTCCGTTTTTGCTGCCTTCTTCATACGTATAATGTATGTATGTTTTTTTCGTTTGATGTTCGGCATTTAATAAATTCCTTAATTTAGAGCTTCTGCTTGGCATTGTTGTTGTTGTCTTGCTTCTTCTGCTTCTGTTTCCCCCCAGAGGAATCAAAACATATCATCAACTCGGACTGGCAAGTGACTAGTAAAGGCGGCGGCAGCGGCGTTGGTGTCTGTCGGCGGCATTGTTTCCCGCCGCACCCATTATTTTGCGAACAAGAAGCGGAAGAATGTTTGTTGTACGCCCATTTTTTTGTTCTTCTTCGGCAATTTGTGTTACTTGTTGTCGGTGCTGATGTTGTTGTATGACGCTACTGCTGCTGCTTTCTCAATTACTTAAAAAAGAATTCTTTATATTTTATTAATTTCATTTCGTTTACATTTATATTGTAAACACACACGCACACACATCCCCCATAGGTAAAATGTACGATTGTGTACGTCGTATGAATGTGCCCATGTGCCCCGTCCATTAAACATAAACCGTCAACGACAACAACAACACAATAATAGCATCGACTGTCATTAAAAGAGAGCAAAGAAAGGAGAGAGAGAGTGCGAATTGCCAAAGAGACAGAATTTTTGTTTATGTTTTTTCTCCAATTAGATATGAGAGAATGAAAGGGATGAGCAACTGTGTACTTTTTAGGTACAACTAACATTCTGTTTAGAATGCATTTCATGGTCTTGTGTTTTTTGGATTTTGAATGGGAAAAGGCTTTGTCTTTAATTGATAATTAGGATAATTTTCAAACCGCTATAAATGGAAATAATGAAGAAAAATTGGGGTAGGAGTTAATTAGAGAAAAGTGTAAACCAAGTAGAAGAGAAAGTGAAATTGAATTGATTTTGAAGTAAATTAAAATTCAGGGAAGAATAAAGATCGTATTAAAAATAAACAACCCATGGTCCTTTACTTGCGAAACAATACGTATAATATGTACTTGTTTAAGTGAGTGATAATATAAATGTATATAATGCTAATAATGCATACTTTTAGGCGGTAGACACTATGCCTCGTCAATGTTTATTATTGTACCGCCCATCACATAATGGATGTACCAAAACGAATTAAAATATATTGTTATAATTTCCTAGTTTTTAAATTGTCCTATATTGACTCAATTTTTACGAAAAAGAGATAGAAGGATTCAGCTTTAATACGATCCCAATTAACACAAGTTTTGGAGAGGGTTTTTAGAATAGGGAACCGAAAGAAAAAGTGGATGCTTATTTCGCTTTCTTTGAGCGTTTTGTTTTTCAAAATCTTGAACCCAATGAGCTGGTACGATCTCTATCATCTTTATAACAGATCTTGTGTTGATATAAATGTTGAGATGTGCTAAGTCTGAATAGAATCGTATTTTTGACCGATTAGCAGAAGAAGTGGATATATCCCATATTCACAGCAGATCTTGGTTTGAAAAAAAAAATTGTGATGTGTATAATTTGAAGAGAACTGGATGCTTATTTCGAATTTTATGATCGTTTTGGTTATTCAAAACTTTCGCCCTTAGTGGGGGAGTTACGAGAAGGATTGATCCGATCTCTACCATATTTATAACGTGTTTTATGAGCTTCATAAATATTCAAAATATTGACCTTTTGTGGGGGAGGTACAAGAAGGAGTGGACCGATATATTCCATCTTCTCACCAGACCTTTGGTATGTGTGTAATTTGAAGAGCAATTGGTTTAACTTCGCGAACTTTTACATTTTAGGGATTAACGGGTAGCCAAACATTTTATTAATTTTTGTGCGGCGTATAAAAAGTTCGGCTCAGGCGCTTTTACTGCAAATGCGTTAAAGCGCGGTGAGCCAAGTTGGCAATACTGAAAACTTTGCTACCATAGGGGAAAAGGAACCCAGGCGCAAATATTTAACTTTGATTGGGTGAACGGGTTGTTACTTAAAGGACTGTTAGAAAGTGGACCGTCCTTCGTAGTAAACCTGACAGAACTTCATCATTGGTTATACAATTGTTTTCAGAACTTTTATAATGTCTGGAATTAATTTCTAATTTCAGACTTCTGATAAGTCAGTGAAGGCCTATTCTACCAAGCATATTTAATGTTACAGGGTAATGTTGCATGAAGCAAGTGCATTGGATGATTTCGATAATGAAATAATAGTTTCGATTTCATTGAATAACAAAGAGATGTATTGTATGTCTGGCCTGAGATTTTTGCCACAAGATAACCCCTTTGAATGGTTCCTCATATAAATCCAGGCATGGTTTTTGCCATCGTAATGATGTTATTAAAGTCCAAGACTTCATTGTCCTGCCATGTTTATAAGGCTTTTGTCATGAATGATTGTCAGTATTTTCTTCTGGAGTATCCAAGTTATTGTTTCTTTAGTGGACAAATTGTTGGATATCGAGGTGGTATTCCAAAGGAGAAATAGATGAAGGGAAGGTTTGAAACTCTTCCTCCACATCTCAGACACAAAACATCTAAGAAGAAAAACAATACTGGTTACAAAAGAGCTGATTATTACTTTTCAAAATCCTACAGTTCCAAAGCTTCAACATATGAATATCCTCGTCAAAGAAGAGGCATATGAAGAAATT